GTCTTTGAAATGGTTAGTCTAATGAAATATGCATGAGATGTCATGATGCATGATGTCATGATAAAAACACACCACAGGTATCACAGATAGCAAACATGGTAAGGGAAAACAAGTCACACAATAGCCCTTAAATTTCAGGATGGCATGGAGTTTAGGTACTACCCTCTTGCAATTTAGTTGGTTCAACCTATCCTAGTAATAGTAACCGGGTTCTAGAGGTTCTCAATATCACTGACCATCCTCCATCGGTCATAGTTTCAGCTTAGCAATCTTTTCTTGCGGCTGGAACCATCGCGAGAGTATGGTCTCAATGAGTGTAGCATACTTCTACTTTCTATGGCCAGGTTGGTCAATTATAGGTTCTAAGGTCAGTTGATGCTTAATGACGCATATAGCAGCCCCATACTCTCCTTGTTCCTCCACAAGGGATATCGATACCAACTAATGTGTCACACCAACGTAGCTACTGCTTCAACCGTATTGGTCTATGCCGTATAGTTCCCTCACAGTCTATTGCTACTTACCTAAAAGGTGTTCGCCAGATCCAGGTTAGGATCTATAGTAACTCCGATACAAAGCCCACAAAGATAAAGCAAAAAAATCACACAATTGAAAACAATATGATGAACTAATCCTAAGGTACACCCCACTTATTATGTCCCTAGCAGAGTCGCCAGTTCTGTGATACGGTGGCCAGAACTGGGACGTGTTTTCATTTTTAAGGAAATTGCTGGTTTGCGTTTTGCGTTTGTATTCGCAAAATGTCGCGGTAAGCAAGAGTCGCTACCGACTTTTATTTTATCCAACAAGGAAAGGAAAAAAGCACAGAAAAATTCCTTTTTCGAGATATTTCTGAGTACGGGGGGTAGATTGGAAGGTATTAGCACCCTTTCTATCCGTGGTTTTCCACGGGCTCTTAGGTACTTGCTCATTATTTTAAAAATTGTTTTCTTTGTGTTTGTGTGCTTTGAAAAGTTTTTGTTTGACTTCAATTTAACTCTTGCTTCTGTTTTCAAGAGTGTAATGAAGTGTTTTGAAAACTTGTTTGTAAAGGAGTGTAAGTGTGAAAAAGTTTGTTTGGATTGTGCAAGTACTTAAGAACTAATCTACCTACTCGAAAAAAGAATCGTTTTGTATTCGTTTCCTTTAAACAGTGATATCCCACTATTAGTGAGTAGGTAGCACCATCATTGGAGTTTTGAGGGTCAATTTGAAAGGGACGTACGGTCACCAAAGCAATGTTAGGACGTCTTAGTAGTACCCCTAATGTCTTAGATCAATTATCCGAGGTGACAATATCCGAGGCAACCTTTCCGAGGCAACTTTGATCTTTGGACAAAAAGGACGACCACCAAAGCATCCTATACTCGATGACCGTTTACCGAAGGCAACCAAGTGGGAGTGTACCCTAAGAGTGCGCATGTGCGAGTGATTCAATTTTAGATTATCTATCTTTGCACATGTTAGGGTTATCTAACTGTTTTAAAGTTTTTTTCACATACATTCTTGTCATGCATCCTAATATCATACATCTAACAGTTAAATATTTGCGGAATTTAAAATGAATAAATTAAACACACTATTACAAGGCTTCGGGTATTTACTTAGCCAAAAACAAACCCTTTGAAAATAAAGCGATAAAAGTAAATAAACGTCCTAATTAAACTATTACAAATTGTAGGCAGTTACATCAATATGGTAAATAATAAAAATAAAGCGCACAATGAAATTAATATCATAAGAAAAAATTAGGGTTTTGACCCTTTTAACCTAATCAAAAGAAAAATTGTTTTCGTTGTTTTTAATAAAAGAATTAAGTTTTCTGAATTAAGTATGAAAATTAATTAGTGATTAAATTAATTAAAAAATAATAATTACATGGCCTATTTTTGTGTTTTTATTATTTTTAAGAAAAAGAAAATAATTAAATTAGAAATAAAACCTATTTGTTCTAATTTATTTTAATTATGTGCAAAAAGAATTAAAGTTGTCTAAAATTAAAATCTAATTAAATTAACTAATTTTTTAATAAAAATAAAATCTAGACCTAATTTATGAAAAGTAATATTTTTGTGATTTTTGATAAAAAGGAAATAGTTGATTGGTTAGTAAATAAATAAATATAAGTTAATTAAAACAAAATAAATAAATAAATAAAAAATAGAATAGAGAAAGAGATTTGGGCCTGAGCAATTATGGGGGGTGTGAGAAGCATTTCTGGGCCCAAGAAGAATGTCCACGTTTGACTTCCCAGATCACATGCTCTGCGTTTGACTTGGCTTATGATACTCCTCCGTTGTTGGCTCTTGGATCTGGCCAATTGGCCACTTTGCATGTTAGATGATGAGGCCATATGGTAGACCTTGAACTTACAAACACATTGGATCCTGAAAAAGAAAATAATATGGAGAAATTGGTGGACCTGGGATTCGAACCCAGGTCCTGAAGCATTATCCAACACTACACTTACCAACTGCGCCACTTGTTCTTTCTGTATATAAAATAAGTAATAATAATAATATGGAAAATAAAAGAAGTTGGTGGGGCACAAAGAAAAAGCGCGCCAGGATTCAAATACGCCAATGGAAAGGTGACACATAGGTCATCCCTGACCTTGCTCCGTGGGTAAAAGTTCCAAACTTTTACCTACGGACGTTTGTCCGTAGCTACAAGCCTGGTTCTTCTCGAAATTCTCCATGGGCACGATAAATGACTTCTAGTGCCATGGTAGGGTTCATCTTGTCATTCTGAACATGATGGTACCATTCATGAAAGCTAATTTTACCTACAAGCAAAAACCCTAAAATGGAATCCAAAAACCTAACAATGGCAGTTCTCAATTCAGTCTATGAAAATGCAATTGGGTAATATAGAAAGCTTGCAATTGTCATTGTGAAGAAAAATATATGATTATATTATGCTGAATGTGCAAGAATTATGCAAACAAAATTCAAGAAAATGTGGGTGTTGTGAATGCCTTACAGTGCGTTATAGGGCCTGGAAATGCTTGATTTCGATTTCTTTCGCTTGCTGGGGATCTCAGGAAGTGATTGAGATAGCTAGAATGCCTCGAGGATGCTAGGAACAATGAATTATTTTAACTTGGTTAATCACAAGAGGATTGTTCTTGGTGATTTTATTAGATAGGAAGACTGGGAGTGTCTTGTCCATAAGATCTAACAATAATAAAATCTATTACATTTGGTAAGGGGACTAGATATACTCTCAGCTTATAAGGGAAACTAGGATAAATCTCTTGTGTTTTTTTTATTTTACGCATTTACTGCTTTCATCACAAATCATAACTAGAAAAGAAAGAAATGCATCTCTAAAAACCAGAAAAATTGTATTACACCTAATTCACCCCCTCTTAGGTACACTCTTAAACTTATAGTAATGCTTCCATTATACCAGCTGAAGCAAGGTTGCAGTTGTCCAAAAGTGAAGAGGAGTAGAACATAGATCCTACTCAATATAGAATGTTGACTTGATGATTATGTTACTTATGCAATACCCGGACAAATTTTGCGTTTAGTGTCGGTATTATGAGTAAATTCATGAGGAGACCAAAAGTATCTCACTTGGTAGCAGTAAAGAGAATCCTAAGATACGTTAAAGGATCTATTGGCTGCGGATTTCTCTTTCCTGCAACAGATACGGGTAGAAAAATGCAATTTTCTTGGTTTTACTGATTCCAATTGGTGCGGAGATAAAGACGTTCATAAGTCTACAACTGGATACATCTTTATGTTCATTAGAGCACCAATATCATGGTATTCGAAGAAGGAACCAGTAGTTTCACTCTCAACTTGTGAGGCCGAGTATATTGCTATGTCGTTATGTGTGTGTCAAGCCGAATGAATCTATTGGAAGAGTTGGGTAGCAATGAGGGTAAAGTTGTCACACTCTTGATTGATAATGTTTCATCTATTAATCTTCCTAATAATACAATTGCATATGGAAGGAGAAATCTCTTTGAGACGAGGTTTCACTATTTGAGGGAGATTGTTAGTGAAGGAAAGTTAAGATTAAGGTACTGTAGAAGTGAGGACCAACTTGTTGATTTGTTGACTAAGGGAGTCACAAGTGATGTGTTCAAGTGGTTGAAGATGAGTATAGGCATGGAGAACTTGGAGCACTTGAACTAAGGTGGTGTTAGTTGAAATTCAATATATCAAGTGTTGTAATCGGTTAACATAGGGGTGTAATCAGTTATAGCTGCAGAAAAGTCACTTCTTGAGACATGAAAAAAGTTGTTTTGAGTTGTGGCAACTGGTTACGCAAACACGTTAACCGGTTACAACTATTTTGTATCGTTTTTGTTGTTCAGTCGTAACCGCTTAATCGGTTGTATTAACTAGTTACATGCATGAATTTTATCTTTTTCTTGTGTTTTAAGGTTTTGTTTTAGGTCCCTGTTATTGTAATACTCTGGTATAAATGCCTTGGAGGCATCTCATCTAAAACTTAATGCAGAAAATAATTCTCATCCTCAATTACTCTCTCTCTCTCTCTCTCTCTCTCTCTCTCTCTCTCTCTCTCTCTCTCTCTCTCTCTCTCTCTCCACCACAAGAAATTAAATCTCCATTGATTTACCAATTGCGTGTGATTGTATGTTCCAACAAAAACATAGATAGGTAATGGTTTAGAAATATTTTGAGGGTTATCAAATGGTATTGAGAAACACTTTTAAACACATTGTCTTTGTGTGATTCATTTATATAAAAAATTGGAGAGATTAGAAAATACTTAAATGCAAAATATGATTTGTTATTGAGAACTTTGGTGACTATTTTTTCATAACTCAATACTAATCTTTCTTATAACTTTTAAAAGTATAGAGAATCGAATGATTACTTATCTTTTATAAAAACTCATTAGTAATCATAAATAAAGTGCAAGATGGGATGAAGAATTACATAGAATAAGTATTGGTAGTTATTATTTTATTTATGTTATTTATTTCTTATTTGAGTACATGAAAAACACCTTAAACCTTTTTACCATGAATATCTTTTCTCCCACGAATCTTTGTATTGATGGTAAAAATAGGCTCCATCAGGTTTAAGGACTCGCAAACATTTGGAAATACACAATGACTCATCTATCTTAGCATCATAAATTACTATGCTCTGATGCACATTGTCACCCCAAAACAAGGCACAAGAAAACGAAGTGGTACCACGAATGTTGGCTCTAAAAGACCATTCTACAAAATCGTTGTTAAAAACATTATGGTCACCAAGATCACTGTCTGATGATTTACAATGTATAAAAACGTTTGTGCCTAATTGGTTTTCAACACGTACATTTGTCTTTGTAGGACTCCAATCAGCTTCACCATGTGTAGGGACTGAAATTGCAATAATCATCAATATGATACTAAGTAAAGATAAGACCTTCAACATTTTTACAAGAAAATGAACTAAACCTTCCTGGATATTTTTCACTCTCCACAATTAAGTAGATGAGTCTAAGTTGCCATTTAAATACTTATTTAGTGACATCACTTTTCCTACAGATATTGATATTGAATTTAAAGTTTGTACAAAGATGTGGTCAAAAGTTTAATCTGGTCAAATGATTATGTTGTCCTTATTTAAATATTATTTATGTTGTTTTATCTATTAATATTTTTGTGTATATTATTAAAGTATCAATGAAGCATGGGAGCTCCTTTTGTTTAAAAAAATGTTTCTTCTTTCTTCTTTATTTACAAGAAAAAATAAAAATAATCATATTTAATAACAAAAGTACAATATAATAATTTAAAGTATCACTTTTTGTGTATTTTTAAATAAAATTTATAAAAAATTAATAAAATAATTTTAATTGATTATTGGTTACAAATAAAGTGAAAAAACAAATTAAATACAATTTTTATTTAATTTTATATTTAAATATATATATTAAATTACAGTATGATATTTTTGATTTTTTATAAATAAACTTTATAGAAAAATATAAAGATAACTTTAATTAGCTATTGATTACTAATAAAATATAAGGAAAAAAATTAAATACAATTTGTATTTAATTTATCTTTGAAAAATTATAAATTAAGATTTGTACTTTTCAAAAAAGTACAGGTGTAAGCGTGTTCTCTCTACAAGGACATAGAGACTCAAAACTCCTAGTAGATTTATTACACGTTTGAGAGTGAGGGATATCTCACTGCGGCAAGTAACCCCGTAAGGTAGTTTTTAAGCTAGTTAGGGACTAATTTACGGGAGATGATATGCTCTGTTGTGGTCGATGCTACAAGGTTGCAGGCTAGCGGTTAGAGTGATATTGTTAGGATTACTCGGAGCAGAGTGCTCTTGGAGTAGGACTGGATATTGTGTAAGTATGTGTTACTTGAGAGGTTGTCCTTTATCCCCTAGAGGGATAGTGTATTTATTGGAATTTTTCCATACCTAGGGTTTATGGTCTCCCGAATATGGTCTTAAGCGCTCCACTTTATCAAAGAGATCATTGACCTTCTATAATTCTAGAGTCAACATGGGTTTACTTAACTTGTTCATTTTACATGAGATATATGTGGCTTGTTTCTATTACTCCTTTTAGATAATATAAAATTTGGAACTTTGTTTTGCATAGTTACCTTTGCTAGACATACCTCAAGAATGCAAACTTAAATAGATATATTATCTTGCATACATGTAGGAATGCTTAGAACATTGTATGCCATGTGTAGAAATATGGAAAGTTTTATATATTCTGTAAATAATACATAAGAGGTATTTATAGACTATAAATCTATCTAAATAAGGGAAGGGTAATTATTCTCCCTATAAATACTAATCTAGTCATAATGTGTTGCACAAGATAGCAGCTCATAATGAGTTGTATGACATTCAACATATTCTAATAATAATAATAATAATAATATTACAACACTCCCCCTCAAGCTGGGGAATGAATACGTATCTCCCTAGCTTGTAAGTAAGATCTCGAAACTGCTCCAAGAGAAGTCCTTTGGTGAGCACATCAGCTAAATGAAGTCCTGATGGGACGTATCATGTAGAAATAAGACCACTATCCAATTTCTCTTTAATGTAGTGTAGGTCTATCTCTATATGCTTTATTTTGTCATGTTGGACCGAATTGTGAGCAATACTAATGGCAGACTTATTATCGCAAAAAAGTATCATATGAGCTTCATACTTTATTTTCAAGTCATCTAGAATGATCTTCATCCATAACCTGTTCACAAACTCCACTACGCCAAAAAAGACCTACGAAAGCGCTTTTTTTGGCCTTTAAAAGCGCTTAAAAGCGCTTTCTAAGGTGGCGCTGCTAAAGGCTTTAGCAGCGCGTTTTGTTTAATGAAAAGCGCTCTCATAGGTCTACTTATGACAGCGCTTTTTCTAAAAAGCGCTCTCTTAAGTACCCTTATGGCAGCGCTTTTTCCAAAAAGAGCTCTCTTAAGTAGGCTTTTGGCAGCGCTTTTTCTAAAAAGCGCTCTCTTAAGTAGGCTTTTGGCAGCGCTTTTTTATGAAAAAGTGCTTTCATTGGTGGCGCTTTTTTTGGAGAAAAGCTTCCATAGGTTGTCTTTTAGCAGCGCTTTTTCTTGGAAAAGCGCAGTCATAGGTCTACCTATGAAAGCGCTTTTCTCCAAAAAGCGCTTTCATAGGGTGTTTTTTTTTAGAGGTATCATTTATATCATTCATATACCTGCATTGTTTGCCATAACCTGTAATTCATAAATAGCGGTAATGCATTGTAATTCCGATACCCCGTTCTCGTACTCTTTCGACAATCGATTGGAACACAACCGTGTCTTATCCATGGTTTACGGTTTCTGAGTCAAAACCAATACTCAATATAACAAAACCAATACTCAATACTTTTCACTAAATTCATTTTATTCTATCAACTACTTTAGTACACAAGTATAACACAAGAAACCATAAACAAGAAACTATCATTGCTCAAAATCAATCATAAATTATGTTTGTATCTCAAATTATATATAAACCATTGTTATCTGTATTCTAACTCAAAGTCAGTATTACAAAATTAACTCTAACAACAACTAAACCAGTCCTTATATTATTCTCTGCTCAATAAAATATTGACACAACTCCTCTTTGGTTTCTTCCAACTGAAGTTTCGTGTAATATGCACATTTGTACTCATCGAAGTACTACATAAGAAAACATAATATGCATGATTTAGTTAAAAGTAAAAAAATTATATGGAATATCCGAGAAATAATAAAACAAATTCTAAGTTATAAATTCATACCGTGACTGGAATCTCTATTTGATTCAGTTGAATGATTTCTTTGATAAACCGCATAACGAAGTATCCGCAATCTATATCGTTTTGTTGTTGAGGACACTACATAGAAAAACAAATAGGAATATATAGTTGTATTGTTTTATCAAATAGCGTAAATATTATAATCAAAATAGTGGAAATTAATATACCGGCACTTTGATCCAATTAATGTTTTTGATTTAGACCGTCGTACCCGAGCTTCTCTTTGACACCGGAATACTTGTATCGCTCTAACAAAATTAAAAATATATATTTAGAACAATGTCACAGAAATAATTAAATACATAAATACACATAAATATTTAGAATAATCTCACTTATGTATCAATCATTAACTTCATATCCGGATAATTTGTCCAATCACCGTCAACCGAATTCAGATAATAGACCACTTCTTTTATAGGATCGATAGCAACCAACAACCAGTGACGTCTATAAATTAAAACAACAGTTTAGAAGAAATGTTTCTACGTAAAAATTACAAATATTAAAATTAATTTAGAATGAAAATCTAACCCTGTAGGAATAGTATTATACGCCAAAAGATATAAGCTTTATGTACTGCCAGTTGCCATGAATCTTTCGACTAAGTGCTCTCTTACTGAATCCGGTTCCCTACCAATTGTCGCTCCGCTGACACGGGAGGAAGACACAAAATGGAATCTGTTTGACAATTGATTCCCGCGCATCAATTTGTCATATAACAGCCTTAAATAGAAACATAATTAATATTAGAGTATATTCATTGAAAATGTTTAAAAAATATTTCAGCTAATTATATAATTTAAAGATGGGGTTACCGGATGTATGCGTGCATAATACTGACGCCCAATTCTTTATGACGGAAAATCTGTTCCACGTCCTCATGTCCAATTATTTTTGTGCAAGGAAAACCAAAAATACCTTGATCCATATCAATTTGAAGAATACCACCATCCATCAAATTTGTTGTTCCCACTATTGTTTCAAGACACTGCCGGTATCGAGGGAAAAATCTAGTAGGCACCCTTTTCTTGGGTGGTACGCCAACGATTTTCTGGCTCACTTGTTGTGACCCATGAAAAGGTACCTAAAAATCATATAAACTCGGTTAAATTATAAAATTATGCAGTTTTTTATTCGGATCATATAATTAACACTTTAAACGTACCTCTTTTGGTGATACGTCAGACTCGTCGTGCCGCAAAATCCCTTTACCCTTAGATGCGGGTGTTGTAGGAGTCTATAATTACCGTGGAAATAACTGAGGTCAAAACTGACAGTTGAAGACTTAAAGATTCATAATTGTTTTCAACATACCTGATCATCTATGAAAATAAGGTCGGATGGCCATGCAACAAAAGATCCAATTGCATCTCGCAGCAATGGGGTCTCAGCAACAATGTCAAGTACCGGCAGCAATGCATCCATATCTAAAGCAATGTCAACTGATACTTTCATGTGACCATCCGGAAGCGGTCTATTATGAAGTAAATCTCCCGAACTGTTATGGACTTTTCCCTTGCCAACTAGTCGATAAGTCGGTGACGATAGGTAGAGCTGGCAAGATGAAATGCCCTAAACCAATAATAACCGTTAGAAGTGAATAAAAATATTCTATAGTAACAACGGATATATATTGAAAATTACCTCGGGAAATTTATGCTGAAAGTTGATACTAGCTTTGTCACTAGTTTCTTTCAAGTGTGAACTGCTCTTTTCCGCCATATATCTCTCTTTATCCTTCTGCAATTCACGAACTTGAGCTTGTAAATCCTGCAATGTTTGCATCACTTCTGCATTGCTAGGATTTCTTCTCCTTGGATGCTTATACAAAGAGGTTGGAGTCACACCATGACCTTTACCCCTCACCCGACCCGGATACTCAGCAATATTTAGTGCTCGACTAAGTACGCTCCTGGTATCGTGAGGATCCTCACCTGGGGATACCGATTGGGACAAGGTCTCCTGTAATTCAATTACATATAAAAAATTATTAGTGGAGATAAAAAATTACTTAAATATTAATAAACATTAATTGAGTTAACTAAAGACACAATCTTATACTTACACATTCATCATACACATGTTGAATATCGGGATTAACAGCTTGATCCTTGCCCACACGGGCTTCCTTCCACAA